CCATCTTTAAAGAGGTAATTAAGGTAAAATGAGGTCCTTAGGATGGGTCCTAATCCAATATGACTAGTGTCCTTATCAGAAGAGGAAATTTGGACACAGACATGCATAGAGGGAGAACACCGTGTGAACAGGAAGACGGCCATCTGCAAGCCAAGGAGAGAGGCCTCAGAAGAAACCAACTCTGCTGACACCTTGATCTCAGACTTCCAGCCTCCAGAACTGAGAAAATAAACTTCTGGTGTTTAAGCCACTCAGTCTGTGGTGCTCATCATGGCAGCCTTAGCAGACTAATACAAGAGGTAAGAGGAACATGAGGAGTGCGTGCTATCCCAGAGCACAGAAGATGAGAATGCTTCAAGTAGGAGCCTTGTCCACATACTTAATAGACACTGAGAGCTGAAGGAGGAGGAAGAGCAAGGCATGTCCCTTGGAAGGACCTGCAGAGAGAGTTCTCAGTGGAGTGTGGTCAGAACAAAAGCCGGCTCTGCATGGGTGGAGAGTTAGGACTCCCACTGACTGCCAGTGTGGATAATTCTTTAAAGAAATTTGGTTGTGAGTTGGGCAGAGAGACATGACAACGGCTGTAGCGTGACATGGGGCTGAAGGAAGGCTCTAGAAGGGAGACTCTTGGGCATGTCGAAACTCTAATGGGCAAGGGGAAGAGACTGTAAGGCGGAAAAGAGGAAGAACCACCCTGGAATGAGGTCCCCCAAGGAAGTAGGGAGAATCCTCCTTGGCCAGAAGGGGGAAGGGTCTTGGGTGGTAACAGGAGGTAGGTGGAGAGGATGTGTTGGGTGGAGGCAGTGTGGGTTTGAGGGTGGGAAGTTGAGGGGTAACAGGCTAGCTTCTTCCCTGGCCCCTCCAGATCCACTCTGCCCCTCTCTCCACCTGCTCTCCCTTCTGGGAGGCTGACTCAGATGAACTTGCCGTCTGGCTCCTGCCTTTGGGAGTCACCAGCAGGAAACGGGAGGACAGAGGAGACTGAGACGGGGGGATTTATTCCCGCTGGACTCGCCTGCAGACTGTGGGCCTCTCGCTACTGAAGGCCACAGCTCCTGTCTGGGGCCCTCTCCATCCAGTTGTCTTCTCGGGTTCTGTAACTGCTCCTGCCTTTTCAGGCTTAAGGGCCATATGGGCTCCCCATTGTTGCTAGCCTTAGGGTACTGCAACATCTCTTGTTGGTCTCCCCAGATTTGTTAATTGTTCCTTTATTCAGCTCTCCTCAAAGTGCCCCGTTTGAAGGGGCCATCTCTTTCCGCCAGGCCCCTGACTGTGAAGGTGTTCCCTTCTTAGCACTTCTTTTCTCTTTGAAGATGGAGGTAAGGTCCTCTGCTGAGGGTAAGGGGAGATGAGGTTTGGGGAGAAGGGAAACTGTTTGAGACATCTCCTTGGAGAATGGGAGTGGATTTATCAACAGAGGTGAGGCCTCAGCTGAGGCTGGGACCTCGGACTTCAAGGGGTGCCATCCACACGCTTGCCCAATGTCCTCACAGCCTCAGCTGCAAGGGCCGATGGGAAACAGGTTCAAGCAAGTTCGCCATTTTGCCAGGCAGGTGCAGCTAAGGAACAGTGGGATCAGAACGTGGATATAGAGGAAGACCGAGCGAGTGAGCGGGAAGAACGTGTGATCTGATAGGAAAGGGCATCTGAATGTGTGATTTGAGAGAAGGTGCAGTTCTGGGCTCTGATAAGCCTGGAGAGTGGGTGGTGAGGGGGAGAGGAGAGAATGAGAGGCTGAGGTGCTGGCTGGGTGGTCCATGGAGACCCGTGGGGTTTTGGGGAGACAGGAAGACCATAAGCTGGCCATAAGCTCTTTGACAAATGAGGGGACGTGACTGGGACATGCAGCCACACACTGCCCACGTACACAGCCACACACCCACACACGCCCACACAGTCACAATTGCGCACACACACCCACAGCCCTCCCAGACACTCCCAGACACCCTCACATGCACTCACCCTCACACACACCCCAGACAGCAGATGGGGCGCTCGGGTAATTGGTTAAACCTGTTCCCGATGTCTGGCTCCGCATTGGCAGCGCCTGTCTGACAGGAAAGCTGGCTGGGCCTGCACCGCTCAGCCTGCTGGCCTCCCTGCCCCTCCCCCTGCGCGGCTGCCCCAGAGCAGGGGCTCCAGGAGAGGCCTGTGGGCCTGGCCTGCCTCCCTCCTGGGCAGAGCCCAGTTCACTAGGCGAGGGTTCCACGAAGCCCCTTGAGAGGCAAGCACAGCACCCATGAGGAGGAGCTGGTGTAACCAAGTGCAGAGACTCTAAGAGCACGAGCCCTGCTGCTGTAAGAGCATGAGCCCTGCTGCTGCGGAGGCCGGAGGGACTGATTCCGGAAAGTTCCATAGACAAGAGGATGTGTAGAGATCCTTCCCTGAAGGTGAAGCACATGGCTTAAGCCGAGAGAGTTAAGAACACCTCCCCGTGTTCCCTCCAGTCAGCTGTGTGCAACTTGGGGTTCTCACAGGTGTCCATCCATTCCTCAGCCCATTGGACTCTGCAGGCCCGGGAGGCCCGCGTCAGGCTCACTCAGGGAATGCCTGGCCGAGCAGCTCCTGTCCTCCCACCCTCACCCATGCAGGGCCCTGATCTCCAGGCGGGAGGAGCAGTTGGGGGAGGGAAGGGAGCATCATTCCTCGGCTCCTTCTCCCCTTCCCGGCTGCATCTGTGTCTCTTCGAGAGAGACTTTGGTTTGTTCCCTGGAGAGGGCCCAAAAACTCCCAAATTAGCAAACCTGGCAAGCCCGCAGCTCAGAAAATAGTTCATCCTGATTCCATGTTTTTCAGGCTCACAGAAGCCTTTATTAATGAAGTCACAACACCAATATTTACCGTCTGCGGGAGAGGCACAACATGGGGGATGGATGAGAGTACAGCGGGGACTCCCGCCCCGCCCCACCCTGTGCAGGCCTGGCCTAGGAAGATTGGCAGGTTTCCTTGGGGTCCTTTCCAGCACTTTATCTGGATGACAGGGAATGCTCTGCTGTGATCTTCCCGCACCCCCTTCCACAGCAAGTGAGAGAGAATCTTGAGAGGAACAGCTCACCCTCACCCGTTCCTCTGCCCTCACTGGTGCCAAAAGGATGCCTCCTCTTCTCAGCCTCACCCCACCTGTACATACATGCTCCTCAGAGGTTATCCACCTGCCTGGCAGTGAAAGAGTCCACTGTGAGGTTTAGCCTGGACTTATCCAGGTTAGGACTTGCAAGATGCAACCATCCTGGTTGATGGGTGGGGGAAGGGGGGTTGGGTTGGGACAAAGCCCTTTGGTTTCTAGCATTGACTGGACCCAAGTGGGCCGCTGACAGTCCCAGCAGAAGAACCTTCTGTGCTTGGATCCCTGCATGCACCCCAGGCACACAGGGCTGGGCCTTTGACATCTTTCCAATGACTTCAACATTGATCAAGCTCCCACGACATTCCAGGCACCAAGAACAACATAAGTGAAGGCACAGTACAGGCAAAACCCATGCTCACTGGGGGACAGGGCTGACATGGAGAAACTGAAGCAGAGGGCACCAGGAGAGAGGTAGGTGAGGTGAAGGGTAGGAAAGAACGGGAGGCCGAGTAGGGGGCTTAGGAAGGGGGTGACACTGTCCTATTTGGGCTCGAGGAAGAGAACCCTAGCGGCACAATGGCGGTCCTCCTTTGAAGTGGGCCTCCTCCTTGACATCCACACAAACCTTATTATGCCTACCACTCCATCCCTCCCCTCCCAACCCCCCAGGAGCCATGAATGCTGTTTCCCAAGTAGAAGAAGCCTTGGCTGTTTGCCAAGGTGGGCAATCCTGGAGAACTGGTGGGAAGATGAGTCAGCCGTGAACGTGCTGAGTCTGAGGTGCTGAGGGGCACGGAATGCAGCAGATGGGTCTGCAGCTCAGCAGAGGTCAGCTGGAGGCGTGGACCGGGGAGCCAAAGAGAAGTCCTGGAAGTGGATGCGAGCCCCAGGCAGAGGGCACGATGAGGAGGCAGGAGGAGAAAGGACTGACCCTGGGGGGGACAGAGGCGATGAGGCATGGACGAGACTGGACAGGACTCAGAGAGGCAGGAGAAGAAGGTGTCAGAGGTACCGGAACGAAGGCAGGGAGGGGTAAGGGAGTCAAGGAGGGAATGGCCAGCAGATTGGAGTGCGGGTGAAGCCAGACGGGAGGCAGGATAGTTTGGCCACAATGAGGTGGCGGTAAATATGGTTGGTGGCAGTCATCAGCATCAGTAGAGTGGGGGGGCAGTGGCCTAAGAGCAGAGGGTTGGGGAGCACGTGGGAGTGAAGAAGAGGAGACAAGTCCAGACATTGCAAGGGAAAGGTTGTTAGGAATACAGGTTTTGCTTTTTCAGGATGAAGGAAATCTTGCTGTGTGACAAGCAGGAGAGATAAGTGGAAAAACTGAAGGGCAGGTGAGCTAAAGGGCTTAGTGGACCCTGCCTTGCTGCTTGTTCCCAGGCTGGAGGCCCCGAGTCCTTGGGGACAGGTTACAGGCTCAGCTTCCAACCCTGTCTCTGAAGCTCTAATCTGCACGGGGGGTTCTCCAGGGACATCCTGGTGGGGCCAGGACTTGGGGCTGGGACTGTCGGCCTCTGTGAATGGTGCCCCTGTACCCAGCCCCCGATACTCCCCTTTTCCTCTGGTTTCTCCTCAACTGGAGAAGCCACCAGAGTCTCTAAGCAAGGGGAAGTGTGTGCATTCTCTCTCTCCTGACCCACCTGGGCCTGATTCCCACCACTCAATAAGTTTGAAAAGACCTGAGCATAGCCTCCCTCATACACAGGATGGTCCTTCCCTATGTCTAGCCTCAGTTTCTCTTGCTGTGGAGTTGGAGCTAGAAACCAGGTCGACCACCAACAAAGGAGAGGAGTTAATGAACTGGGTCTCCAAGGCCCCACCCTAGGCTCCCAGGCCTTGAACAAGCTTGTCCTGCAAGTCCCCACTAGCCCCGAGTGCTGGAGTCTCCCACTCCAGGCTCATGGGCCCTGGGTGGGAGCTGGATTCTGTGTCACTAAGAGAGAGACCTTTATTATTCCCATGGGGAAGGAAGACACAAGGGGCTCACTAAGAACTACGGCGGGCGTCTGGAAAATAAATTAAACAGAAATGCATCAAGACAAAAAGGAGAAAGAGAAATGGAAAGGGGCTGGGATGCTGCAGTAATGGCGGCCTGCACGCAGGCAGGCTCTCCGAGGAGGAGGCCGAGCAGTCCAGGCCTCAGCCAGTCCATTTTTGTCCCTCTGCCGGTGGTGGCCCCAGGCTCCAAGCCCGGGGGGCTGTGACTTGAGGCCTCCCCGCCGCTGGCCGGGGAGTGGCCAGAGTCCAGCTGGGCCCACGGGGGGGCCTGGCCAGGAGCGAGCAGCACTCTGCCCTCAGGGGATCGTGGCTGCCCACCCTAGTCATTGGAGGTGACATCGATGTCCTCCCCATTGGCCTGCTTCGTGGCGATGCGCCACCGGTTGATGTGGTGGGAGCCCTTCTTCTTCTGCTCAGACTCAGGTCCCTCTTCCTCCAGCTTCTGCCGCTTGTACTTTGTCCTCCGGTTCTGGAACCACACCTTCACCTGGGCCAGGGAGGGAGGGGCACAGGTGAGAAACACCCAGGAGGCCCCCAGAGCAGCCCCTGGGGCCTCCGTACTCAGGCTGAGCTGGGAGCCAGATGGAGAAACTGAGGCCAGGGTCCTTCCCTCTGGCCAGGTGCCGGCTGATGGTCTGGAGCACCGCTCTTCCAGATGCAAATGAGGTGGGGCCTGGAGAGGACACCGCGGGCCAGAGAGGGGCAGTTTTCCTGGCCCTCTCAACAGAGGGAGGGGAGGGGGACGTCGAGCTGCCCACCATCCCATAGCCACAGCAAAGCAGAGGGAAGGAATCCAGGCTCCGGAGCCCGCTGACCTGGGTCTCTACTGGTTTCTAGAAATGAGATAATAATCACTCCTTCACAGGGTTGATGGGACCAGTAAATGAGAGAATGTAGGCAAAGCCATCACATGGGTCCTCATGGGCTCCCTGAGGGCCTGACGTGGGCCGCGCCCCCTGGGCCACCCTGTGCTCTTTGCAGCACAGAGAGGCAGAATAGACATGGCTACCTACCAGGAGGTGGTGTCCGCCCCAAGAGCAGGGCCCGGGACAGCCCGAGCACTCCTAGGGTCATGGACCCCACGCTCGAAGCTCTAACCTCACGCACCATCTAGGTCAGTCTGCTTCACGAGGGGACCCTGTCTTAGCAGCTCCAGGTGGAATTCCCCCCATCCCACATCAGAGACAGAGCTGGGTGGGTGGGGAGCCCTGGTCCCTTGGGTGCCAGCTCCTCAGGGTAGTCTGAAATCCACCAAGGAGGCCTTACGCTCCTTGGACAGCGGGGTGTCTGAGGCCCCACCTGGGGCAGTGCTCTGGACTTCCTGCCTCCAGAGCACTGGCCCCTGCAGCCCATCCAGATGTGAGAACAGGTCACACAAGGAACAGTTGGGAGAAATCCCAGGGGACAGAAGCAAGCTCCTCTTTAAACACAGAAAGCCCCTCTCCGTTCTGTGTCAGGCAGTGCGAGCCTGACAAGGGGAGGCTTGACAAGGGGAATCACATCCTCTGTGACTGCGGGGATGGGGTTGGAGGGAGGGGCAGGCCTATGATGCTAAGCCCATCTCCTCCAGGAAGCCTCCCCAGATTTAGTCCCATCTCTAATCATCCCTCTCTTCTCCCTCCTCCTCCAGCGTTTGTTCAGTGTCCAGGACACAGCCTTTAACATGCTCTTGTCCATGATCTGAGAGGGTCATCCTGGCTCCCCAACCAGTCTCAGTGCTTGAGGACTGTGGAGAAAGCCTCTGTCTGTCAACTCCTGACTACGCAGCTCTTTACTTGGCCTTGCAGAACCAAGCCAGACCAGACCATCCTGAGTTGGCAGGATGGGCCTAGGTGCTGATCCTTTGCTAGAAGTTCCTCCCCCTCTCTGGGGTGACCTCCCTCATCTACAGGAGAAAGGCTTTCTGGGGCCCTTGCAGCTCCAGGGCACTCCTGGGCTTTTGCTCCAGAGGGTCGCGGGGAGGTGATGCAGAGAGGGCAGGGTTTTGAGGCATGGATGGTTTCCTGGAAATGACAGCACATTTAAAAGCAAGTGGGAGCCAGCCCTGATGGCCTAGTGGTTGACGTTCGGTGCTCTCACTGCTTTGGCAGCGCGGGTTGGGTTCCCAGTTGTGGAACCACACCACCAGTCTGTCAGTTGCCATGCTGTGGCAGCAGCTCACATAGAAGAACGAGAAGGACTTACAACTAGAATATATGACTATGTAATGGGGCTTTGGGGAGGAAAACAAAAAAGCAAGTGGGTGCTGCTAGCTGCAGCTGGGGCGGTCCGTGGTGCCCGCGCAGGTGGTGAGTAGTAAGTCATGTGTGTGGAATGACGGTGAGCACCTGGGCTGGGGCAGCAGCAGTGATGGCTGAGGGGAGATCCTTGAACTCCGGGCAGGGCCAAGGGTGGTCCTCAGAAAGCCGACCCAGTGCAGCCCCTAGTCCCTGAGAATGGGCGACAAGCACAGGCCTTAGCCATAAAGCCAGGCGGTGGCAGCCAAAAGCAGCCTGGCCTCTGGGCCCAGGGAGCAGTTTCATGCCCAAGCCCCACCCTCACATTCCCAGACATTCCCCTCCGTCCTCTCCGTGGAGTCTACCCAGCCCAGGGTTTCCTGGCACCACCTGCCCTGGCCCTTGATTTCAGAGCACTAGGATGGGGATGGGGACAGCCAGGGCTCAGTGCTGTGCTGAGCAGCCAGCCAGGGATGGGAAGAGAGAGGTGCCCGGCCTCGGTGGATGGAGTAAGAAGAGGGCTTCCTTCCCTCATTTTCAGGGCAGGCTTCAGATGCCCTGGCTGGGCGCTGGGTGGCTCTCGGCACAACCGTTTGGCAGCTAGCCTGGCCCCTGCCCCCCACCCTGGAGCCCACTGCGACTGTGCCAGCCAGTGGGCGGATGAGCTCGCCCTGCCTCCTGTGCAAGGCGTGTGCGTGACTCAGGCCTGGATACGAGGCTGGGGTGGCATTCCTGAGAGCCCCAGGGGCTGGCGGAAGGCTAAGCATGGCCAACCTAGTGATAGGATGATCCGGGGCAGCCCTGGGCAGCACCAGGGACAGAGGGCCCCTTTCTGCACCTTCTCCCTCCCACGAACACTCCCAGGTCTCCTTCCAGGAAAGAGACTCTGACAATCACACTTGCCTCTAGCGGGATGGACCCAGCCTGCCCCCCTTGCCCAGCTGCACTGGCCCAAAGAAGGAAAGCTTCAGTGGTGGAACTTCAGGATATTGTTTTCAGGCCAGGGGCAGCTTCCTGGCACACAGATGAAAGGTGATTGTGAATATCTCCTCCATAAAGACAACCGGGGTCAGGGAGGCAGCTCCCTAGAAACAAGGATGTAAACCTCTCCCCAGGCAGCCTGGCTATCTTCCGGAGAACAGCCTCGGGCTGAGTGTCCAGATGCTGTTTCCAAAGATGTACTAACAGGGGAGCTATGACTTCACTGTATCATGAAGACGGCAGGATGCACGGTGTGGGCACGGTGTGCTTACCACCATGGAAAAACAAACGGTCTGCAGGAGGAAAAAAGACTAGAAGGAAATGTGCCCAAAGTATGGGTGACTTTTCTTTCTGCTTTCTGCTTTCTGACTTTTCTTTAATGCATTCCTGACAATTACTAGGTTTTTTTACTTGGAAAAAGAAAAGGAACTGGGCTCTGAGTGGAGTAGGAGGTAAGAGTGACACCCCATAACCTCTCCAACCCAACTGGGCTACACTGGGGTCACCCCAGAGCCCCTTCTTTGGAGGACAAAGGCCCTAGAAAGGAACCCGGTCACGTAGTGTGGCCACCAGCTCTGAGGGAGCCGCTTCAGGAGGCGGCGCTGATTCTGCACCTGCCTCCCCCAGCACCCGCACAACACCCCAAAGGCACAGTTGGGATGTCGGCTGGAGGAATCCCTCGCCCATCTCTGAGCCCTCTGGGTTTGGGGAAAGGTTCCTTGTGGTCTCCCAAGTCCCCATCTCACTAAACGTCTCTAAAGCCAGATCCTTCCAAGATTCTCTGCTTTTGCCTGAATTACCCCACCTGGAATACTCTTACTTAGCCTTCAAAACCCTGCTCAGATGTTCCTAGACTGGACCTGCTCCATCACCTGTCTGTAGTTCCTTAGCACTTTTCTCTGTCTCAGTAACAGTGACCCCAGCAGTGCATTAACTGATTTGCTCGAAACTGTCTCCTCACTAGACGATGGGAACCTTGAGAACCAAAGTGATGTGTTCGTTGGCTTTGGGGCCCCAGGGGACATATTCCAGGCCTGTTCAGCCAGCTGGGCTGAGGTGATCTAGCCCTACGCTCTAGACAAGAGGTGGCTGGGCCAGACCTGGAAAACAGGAGAAAATCAATGGCAGAGGGACTGAGGTCTAATCAGAAAAGGGGTTTGGGAAGTGCTAACTGCTGGAGAGATAGGGTCTTTTTTGGCTTAGTTCAGTGGACACTTCTACAAGGGGGTCAATTCTTAATTCTCCATGTTGTAGACTGGATTAGCCATTTCTAGGGGGAAGCTGGGGGAGGGAGACCCATTGTTGAGGGAGACAAGGGTCAGCTTGAGTCAGGCAGGATGAAGAAGGTGAAACTGCTGTAGATGAATGAATGAATGAATGCATCAAGACATTAGTGGATTGACCAATGCATGCATTAAGGAATGAAGGCACGCATTATTAATGCATGAGTGAATGGACAAACGAACTAACAAACAAGCAAACTACAACTCCAGCCAATATTTCAGACTTTTCTTTTGAATAATCTGCTGTTTGAATGAACCAAGTCTGGGTCCCTTCTTTTCCACCACTTCCCAACCTTAGCCCATTCCAAATAGAAGGGTCTGTGGCTCCTGGACACTGCATACTTTCAGGTGAAAACCTGTCCTCTCCTCAAGAAGTTCAAATACCCCTCTCAAGGGGTATTTGAGTCTTATAACCCCAATACAAGAAGTTCCTCCCTATGTCCTACTGTTCTCTCTTCTGCTTTAATTTAAGCTTGTGTCCTCCTATTCTGTCATCCTCAGACACAGAGAAAGTCCTCAGACTAGATAGAAGCTTGGAGAAATCAATCTAGCCACCCCTCAGCCTGCTCGCCTCCCTGCCCTCTCCCCTGGGGATCCATTTCCTATCCTTTGATCATGTGAGCTGCTCCCATTCTCAAGGTCAAGCCCAATGCCATGCTAAGTTCAACCTTCACCCCACCAAACTGAGGTCACCTCCAACTCCCTATCAACCATAGCCCTAACTACCTAAGCCTTCTTCTCTCTTCTCTCAGACCATCCTGAATGCCTGCCCTCACTCTCAGGGAGACATCACAAGATTCACCATGCCCCTGCCCCAGCTCCTCAGAGAACCACTCCAGTCTCCCATATCTCCCCTGCCCTTTCCTGCCTCCCACTGGACTCCTGGAACTTCAGAGGTGCAGAGGTTCTTGGAGAAGAGCCAAGACTTAGAGAAGGGATTAGTCCGTCTCAGGATACACAGTGAGCTAGTAACAAAGGTCTCTTGACTTTTCCCTAAAATTCAAGTCACTTGGATATCTCCCTTTCATCCATCCCCCAAAAGGCAGAGCATTCCAGAGCAGGAAGGGACCCCAAGAAGTCTCTTTACCATGCCCCTGGGGAAAAAAAGCCCACAGGCAGGTGACCACACACTCCTGCCTCCTAAGACCTCCCTCCACACTCTCTGGCTCCAAGACGGTGGCCAGACTTGACAGCTCCTGCTCCGTCTTAATCTGCCCGCCTCAAACCCTCCCCTTCCCTCCCACCAACCTAGGATCCTATGCATCCCTGGAAGCCTTCTGCCCATGCAGGTCTCCCCCGCCCTTCCTCACCCCACAACTGTGACTTCAAGGGGACTCCAGTTGCTCATCTTGCGCATGTCCTGCAAATGTGCACACTTTGCATTTACGCCCCACCACTAAACGAGGAATCTCCAAGGCCAAGGACCACATTTCTGTACCCTTTTCCCTTATGGCTCAGCTAAACGCAAAGCCAGGGAAGGTCAAACACCTGCTGAACTGTTCAGAGCAGGAGGGGCAGCTAGAAACACTGACCAATCCATCAGCCTGGAGCAACCAAATGCTTTCTCTCACTCCTCCTAAAACTAATGTGCCCCCGTCACATACATGCACAGAATCACGCAAGCTGTGCCCCATGCTGTATGACTGCTTCCTGGCATCTGATGTGTGCATGTCATATCACCTGATCTTTGGGCACCAATCACACTAAGCCCATATGTGCCCCATATTGTGGGCACACACGTTACACATACCCATTACACACACATGCACACTTGCTCACTCACACTCGCGGCTCTGATCTGACCCAGGCCCAGGTCTGCCCCACCAGCCACCAGCTTAGACGGGCATCATGCCGCACAGACTCCAGGGCTGCCCCACAGCAGTGAGGAGCAAGTAATTAGAGCCAGAGGGAGAACCAGCCCTTGCCCAGGGCCCCTCCCTCCCCCTCCTGGATTGGCCCACAGCCATCCCAGCACAAATACCTGACTCCCAACCAAACAGCCCTGCCCCAACAAAGAAGCTCAGGTTGCCCACCTCCAACACTCCATGCTAAAGCTTTGGGCATAGAGAGACCCTGAGCTCTGGATTAAGACCCACACATTGATTTGCTTAACCCTCCCAGAAGTTTTATCCATGAACTTGTAGATAAAACTAGATCAACAATCTAGATGAAAGTGCAAGGGAAAGATAGAAAACAGAGGGACAGGGAGGGAGCAGTGACAGCAGAGAGCAAGGGAAATGACTGATACAGTTAACATATGGATGTGTGTCAAGAGAAATTTGCCCATTCACTCACTACTTGTTTATGGAACAACTACTCCTTGCTGGTCACTGAGCTGGGCCCTGGGGTACAGTGAGAAATAGGAAGGCTTGGCTTTTGCCTCCCAGAGCTGAGATGCTCAGGCCTGTTGTTCATCAGAATCACCCAGAGAACTGTTTTAAAAACTTCTCTTGGGTCCCATCCCGAACTCCTAAGAGAATCTCCTGAGTGGAGCCAGAGAATCTGTATTTTAAGATTTCTTTGAGAGATAGATACAGCAGGTCTACAGACTGACATTTGGACATGGCAGATAATTAACAGCAAAGTCCTACGCATATTATGACATGTGGAAGATATACTGTGAGCTCTGAGAACTTGGAGGGGGGATTATACAGAAACACAGAGAAGTAGAATATAGACGAGCCAGGAAGTCAGGGCTGGAAAGAACCCTGGAGTTCATTTCATTCAGTCTTACAGATACAACAACTGAGGCCTAGCAAGAAGACAAAGCCAGAGCTGATGAGATGATAGATAACCATTAGCAGACATATGAATATACCCGGTCAGTTGCTAAATAGATCTATAGAGATGGAAGTTTGAGATGGATGGTGGATACACAGAAGATAAAACAGCATAGATGATAAAGAGATAATCAACAGTTGGGTAAATAGGAGTTATTGTTAGGAAGAAGAGGATTATAATTAATAGAAAATAGGAAGTATAAATTACCCAGCTTTGGGGAGGCAGTTTAAAGAGAACAGACAGAAGTACATGGCTAGATATAAAACAGCTATCTGTGCGGGACAGATTACAGAGCTCTGAGAGACAAATATAGATATCGACAGTAGAAATAGACGGTAGGGGGCTGACGTGGGTGACTGATGCTTGACAAATAGCTGATAGCTGGAAATGACAGGTAAGCTCGCCTGGTAAATACTGAAAGATAGATAGATAATTACTTAATTACACAGCCCAGGTCCAAATGATAAGGTATGAGAGGGACAGAAAGACAGCTCTGATGATGGAGACTGGATGTGGCAGAAAGAGCACTGGACTGAGAGTCAGGAAGCCCGGGTTTGGGTCTTTTGTAACACTAACTTGACATATTACTTTCAACAAAGGAAGAGAAAGACTGGGGATGAGAATTAATATTATTTGACTGCATATTAGGTGCCTTTAATCCTTAACTTATTTTCTGGATGAGAAAACCAGAGCTCAGAGAAGGTGAGTAACTCACCCAAGGTCACATAGTCAGTTAGCAGGGAGGCAAATATTAAAATTGTATTTGCCTGCTTGGGGAACTCTGCCCAGTCTGTCTCCTAGCCTCAGACCTGGGAAAGACAGCCCTCTACAAGGAGGTTTCTCAGGCTCAAACCTTCCATAGTTCTATTATTTTTTTTTTGTTCCATATGCTAAAACCAGCTCACCTATAGATGGAACAAGATTAGATATGTGTTGATGTTAGTGAAGCTGGGTACGTTATATTATTCTATCTGGTTTTGTTTTAAATATGTGTTTGAAACATCTTATATGAAAAATTTAAGAAACCATCATTACATGTACTAACTGGCATTGTTAGGAGCAAATATTGACAGGCAGCTAGATTCCGTTTGAAAGAAAGTTAATTAAAAATGCTCTCACTCAGCGAAAAAATTTGAAAGTTTAATAACAGTAACATTATTTCAACAAATGTTAATCTGTGGGTGGTGGGATTATAAACTGTTTCATTTTCTTACACATCTACAATTAAAATGTAATAACTAGTGCTTTTTAAATGAAGTTAACTATAAACACCATTCTTAAATTGACACCTTGTTTTAGACAGCAATTTTAAAACACTGTTTGCCAGGAGGGAAAAGAGTATTATTTTATTAACTTGTTTTTTTAATATATCTCTCTTTAAAATGTTTTAAAAATTAACTCCGTTGTTTTGTAAGCTTTATCTCTGCATTTAGAACAGCCCAGCTAGCAAATCTGAAAAAGCAGGGGTCCTGCAGCGGAGATGGGAGCAATGCATTGATTAAAGGGGGCATCGGACAGATAGCACGACAATAGATACCAAATGCGACTGGAGGACAAGCAGATAAGGTCGGCCGCCGGGAGCTGAGGACGCAGTTAGGGTTTGGACTCCCCCACTTGGCCCTCTTCCTATCCTCACTGCTCCTCAGGAGACCCCAGAAGCCTCTCCCACCCCACGCCTGGCGCCTTCTCACCATCTCAGAATAGGGTGGAGGGTGTTGGTGTAGCAGGGGGCGAGGCCAGCAGGAAAGGGGAGCAGATGACGCAATGCCGGCGGGGACGGAGCTGCTGGGCCGGCATGCCGACCTCTCTCATTTGCAGATCTGGGAGTTGTCTGGGAAGGAAGGGAGCAAGGTCGCCCGAGGCCCATCCAGACCCTGAATTCGCCTCCAGGGCAGCAGCCAGCCCCTCCAGCACGTCGTACTCCCGGCGGACCAAGAGCTCAGGAGGCGCTTCCAGGCAGCATTTATTTACTTACGGCAAAGCCTGTACTTACAATAAACCCAAATCTGCCTCCCTATAACTCTCATCTAGTTCTTTAAAGATTTTTTTTTCTTATCAATTACAAAAACACTACGTTGTCATTGTAATTTTACTCAGTTCAAACCCCTCCAACACCATTGGAGTTTATTCCCTCCCCAACTCAACAGTCCTTCAGGTGACTGAAGAGTCCCTGTGTACCCAGATTCCACTTTCCCACCATTCCCAGGCCCCTCGGATGCCCGCGCGCACACACCACGGTTTCAGAGCCCTGCCAGCCGGCCTGCGCAGAGATCAGTGCCACCCTCGGACCCCAAGCAGGGCTGGCCCCTCCCTGGCAAATCTCCTCCGCTTCTGATCTTTCTAGCCTGAGGACACGTGGGCCTTTCCCCCACAGCACATCCGCTGGTGGGCCGCCGAGGCCTCAGCCAGCTTTGCCCATGAACAGCAGCGAAGCTAGGGCGGGAAGGGCCTGGTCAGCCCACAAAACCGTGAGCGCCCCTGAACAGTGGCGGGAGGAGGGCTGCAGTAGTCACAGGACTGAGCCAGCTCCGGTGTCACCGGTGCGGCCCGGGAGTGACGGCGGCGTGGGGGCTCCGAGGCAACCACTGCCTCCTGATACCCTGGCACCTCCTCTGGGCTTTGGGAGCTGACTCGGGATAAAGTTTGATCCCAACCTCCTGGCGGGGCCTTAGTGCTTGATAAGGTCCTGCGGCCTCTGCGAGGCTAAACACAGTCGGAGGGAAGGGGCTCTAAAGACAGGCTTTGCGGGAACGCCGCAGGGCGGCTTTCGGAACCGGGCAGGAGAGAGCTCCGGGGAAGGCTGGGGCGAGACTCGGCCGCGCTGCACCCGCCCGCCCCCACCGCCGCCCGGGCTCCCGGGCGGAGCGCGGGCCACCGGCCGGCGGGCAGACGGGGCGATTATTACCTGCGTCTCCGAGAGGCTGAGGCTGCCGGCCAGCTGCTTCCGCTCGGCGCCCACCACGTAGTGGTTCTTCTCGAAGGCGCGCTCCAGTCGCAGCAGCTGCGAGGGCGAGAAGGCCGTGCGGATCCGCTTGGGCTTGCGCGCGAAGGGGCCGTGCAGAAGCAGCCCGTCCTGGGGCACGTCGCTCGCTGCGGCCGCGCCGCCGACGGCAACACACGCGGGTACAGACAGAGAGAAGGGGCGCCGTGAGCGCAGCCCGGCCGCCGGGCGCCCGCGGGAGCCGGCCGGGGCCGGCACTCCCGCCCCGCACGCTCACGCCCTCGAGCCTCTGCTCCCTCCCCAGTCCTTGACCCCTCCCCTACGTCTCCCCTTTCCCTTGAGCCTCCCCTTCCGTAAGGCCCCTCCCCTCCCCAATACCTCCCCACACTCGGAGAGCTACCCGGCCGGAAGCGCTGAGGCGCCGAGGTGGGCCCAGGCCTGGAGAGGCGCCGACCAGCCCAAATCCACAGTGCCTGGAGCAACCCAGGAGGCCAAGGGGTGGGAAAAGTCCCCTAGCTCTTTTTATCCCCTTGTCCCGTCATATCTTCCTCAAAGTGGACCAAGAGCAGCGACAGAGCTGGGTGTGAGGAAGGTGATAAGGGGAAGAGCAAAGCTTAGGCACCCCCTTTCTAAACACAGATTCAGGAACTAGAAGGTACCCAAGGAACTCTCCCTTCACACCTGCTTAAACCAGCCTTGCAGCTAAATGCTCAGGCTACTAGCCCTCTGAAAAGTCCTGCCAACAGGCCCAGGCTCTACCTTGCAAGTGGCACAAATAGGCTAGCGGCTAGGTCAATGTCCAGGCAGCAGCTGGAGGTCTGAGGTCAGGCTTATTCTTCCCCCTCACCACTTCTCTCCTCCCAGGCCTTCTGGTAAAACCCTCTCCCCACAGGAGACTCTTACTGCTCTCTGGTGGGAAAAGGCCTTGCTTCATCCCTGAATAGTACCGTGCTGAAGAAACACGTGTATAAATATCTAGATGTCATCTTTCCCTCTAATATATATAGATATAGATATATTGGTTTCTGCATGGGCGTGTGTAAATATATGTTCCAGCCTCCCTACTGTCTTTTTCTTCCATCTACCATACAGGATTTTCAAAGAGTATGACTGTCCCTTGGCAAATGTTGGCCATCCTGGGGACTCAGCTCCTACACGCAGGAGGGGAGGCTGACACTGGGCTGAATGAGGCTGGGGTGGTGGCGTCAGGAACTACAAAAGCGGAAACAAGCTTCCACCCACAACTCCAGTCTCAATGAAACCCCCCCAGGCCCTCACACAATCTCTGGCTTGGTTGCACATGGGAACAGACTCAAACCGGCCCTGATGTCACCCCTGGATTCTCACGCAGTGGCATATAACAGTCCACCTGACCCACCAACAGTGCAGAGCCCTAGACGGGATGTTTTGACAGAGTTAGCTGTTGAGATTGACTGATCCAATTAATTTCTTCACAAATGGCCACTGGTTTGACTCAATTTGACCCGTTTTATTCTTAAGATAATTGTTTGGATAATTCAGTTGAGATCTCCCATCTCTGGAAATATCTCTGTAAGTGAAGCAAGGGCACATAATTGAGATGCTGTTGCTAGAACTCTCCAGGTAACTGTTCATGTCCCTCTGCTGGTAGAAACTTCCTGACATTACTTTCTCCATGTCCCTGGGCTTTGGACACCTGCACAGATGAACTTTATTGCTGGGGTTTTCTGTGCAACAGGGTTGCCTAGGAATGAGGGGCTAGTGCCTGGGGGGAGATAAAGTCCCCCAACAAGAAGAAGTCATTAACTTCCAGTCACCTTATCCATTTCAAGTGGCTGGATCTGTGCTGCTACAAAAGGGAGTGGGATCACATCATAGAGAAATGGAGCGGGGACACCTTGCCCATTTGGCCTTTCAAGGTGAGGGCAGGCCCAGGGCTCTCAGGCCTAACTGAAGACTGAAGGAAGAGAAATGTAACCTGTCATGGTGGAGGGGACAGATGATCAGGAGAGGAGATGGTCAGGCAGAGAGGGGTGAGAGGGAGAGAAAGGAGGAGCCTGATCTGGGTAGGAGAAAGAAGGATTAAAGTCTCCAGTGGGGACCAGTTGACAGGCCAGAGAAAGGCAGGAGGGGTGGGTGGGAAGCAAACACTTCTTGTTGATGTTAAAATAATTTGTTTCAAAAAACAACATCATTCTGAGCCGAGGTGAAGTCCCAACAGTGGTTTCCTCTGGACAAATGAGGTGGAGAGGGAGGGAGAGAGAAAGCCTAGCTCATCCCAGAGTTCTCAGTGTTTGGTCTCAGCAGCTCGACTGGCCCAGGCTGGTCAGAAGTGAGGCGGGTGTGGTGGAGAGGCCCCATGGGTGGGAGGGAATGAGATGCGGAGGTGTGAAGGGCAGTGCAGGACTGAGAAAGCAGGACTGCGGTCTGCCTCAATGTGTGTGATTTGATAGCTGCTTTGTAATTCTGTGGTGTGTGTCAGTCACTTGTGTGGTGGAGTTCTCTGTGTTTGTTTTCATAAACCCAAAGTAGAGGATGGAAGCCACAAGCTTCTCTGTCCTTCTGACATACACATGCCCCTTTGCCTCAAGTCTGGCTATTTTAGGGGAAAGTTAGGTTGCTTAGGGTCTGCCTCACTGAGAGAATGGCCCCAGTTCATTGTAATGTCCTGTCGGGTGGATAGCGTGTGTCCTGCAGTCTATGTCCATATGCATGTGCAGAAACATCGGGGTCCTTTCTGACCCAACCACAAAGAAGCAGGGGGCAGGAAGATTATTCAAGATGCTGATAAGTGATGACAGATTTGATTCCAAAAGAAGCAACGTTTTTCCCTATAAGAAAGAGGATGTTTAGTACAAAACTAACCATCCCAAGAAACTGATCAATAGCTACATGTTTCTGTAAGGACAAGAGTGATGCTTTACGTGCTTATGTGCCTGGGACCCTCTCACTCTGACCTGTGGGGAGGGAAACTCAACCATCTCTACCACAGCTTCAGTTTCTGGTAACTGGCCCACAAGGGCAGAACAAGCTTGGGGCTGGGGTGCCTGTGGGGCCTGTTTAGATGCAGTCATTCTGGGCTGTGAGAGTGGGCTGTCAGTTTCAGAAAAGGACAGGTGGAAAAGTGGAAAGGGGCTGGCTTAGCCTTCCCTGGAGCTAGGAATTCAACCCCACCCCACTCCGTTTCTCTAGCCACTCCTTGAGGGCCCCTTCAAGGCAATAGCTGGGAACTAGAACTAGAGACTTCAGGAATGAGGCGGCTGGAGGTGGGAGCTAGGGATCCGAAGCATCCGGGGCTGGAGCTGCAGTCTCACCTGGAGAGACCGTGGCCGGCCAGGGGCTCTGGGCCGGATGGCAGGGCGGAGGGGCCTGGGGCTACGAGAGGGAGAGGCCGGCCAGGCAGCGGAGATAACCTCATTCTGCCTCCTCCAGCCGGAACAAAGGCGACCTTTGAAGCACCGGCCCATTACCATCGCCGGTCCCAGAGGGCTGGGTCTCCCACGGCCCCCTCCCGACGCTGCTCCCCAGCCTGGAAAGTTCCTGTTGTCCGGGAAATAGCTCCGAAGTGCGGCCAACTCCCCTTCGCCGCCGGCTCCTCCCCTTCAGGCCTCGAAAGCCGCCTCTGGCTTCGGGGTCCCGCCACCTGGTCCCGACCATCCCGCGCTCACTTTTCGTTTTCCACCGCCTTTCTCAGCAGAGAAGCCGCTTCCCTGCGCGCCGGGACCGCGCTGCCGGAAAGCGCTGCGCACAGAGCACAGACATGTTCTTTTTCGTTCATGTAGGGTTTCGTTTCTTGCATTAAAACGGGGCTGAAATGAGCATCGCAGAGACCCGGTTCTCTAGAAAACGCGGCGCCGGAGGGCCTGGGACGGCTCGGCTCGCAACTCCGAGGCCCCGGTGGGACCGCAGGGCGCACGGCCGCCGGGAGCGCATGGATCTGCGGCGACGATGACCGGCCCCGAAGCTAAAACGTCTCAGGGTTCGAAAAGTCCTTCAGTGCCCAACAAATTTCCAAGTTCAAAAATGCGGCTACACTTGGCTCCATCTCTTCCTCCAGACACGGTTCTTGAGAGAAAAATCCAACCGTTTTTGCAACTCGACAACGTGCCCGGCGGGACTGATGGCTCTGGGAGCCGCGGCAATTTCCGAGAGGGTTTTGGGGAGGATTTATCAGGCCTCGCGCGGCTGAGGATGCTCGGAGCCGGAGCTGGATCTCTCGCGAAGCGCCCCCGGCCCTCGGCGCCCCGAGCCCACGCGGGCGAGGCCAGAGGCGGGAAAGGCGGCGCGGAGGGCGTGGGGCGCGGGGTGGGCAGCAGAGAGCGCCGCCGAGGAGGCCATCTCGGGATGAGCGGAAACCACAGGGTTTGGGACCGGCTCTACCCTCTCCTCTGAGCCTCCTAACCGCCCGTCCCTCCGCCGCCCGGTCGGAAGGTTCACCAAGAGCCGCGGTTCTCAAATCAGCCCGTGGGCACCAGGTTTCGAAACCCAGGCCGAGGACCGAGTCCATGGAGGACCGAGGTGGTTTGCTCAATTTTTAACAAAACGTCATCTTATCAGTAAACATTGAATTTAATTGACAGGTTTCTTGCCCAAAGCGGGTGACACCCTAAGCAGCTTTTTTTTTTTCACATGATTTGAGCAAATCTTTGAAATCCCCAGGAAGACGAGTCTGCCCACAAAAATTCTTGTTCAAGTAATTACATTCTCTTATTTTGTGGGATCTGCTGGTATCCACTGGCCAGATGGGACTGAGAAAATTGACAAATCGGGACCCGGGAAAGTGGCTTTCCGTGAAACAGCAAAGAAGCTATAACCAGAGCTTCAAGAGATCATTTTTCTTCTATTATCTAGATAATTGTGCCACACATCCAATTTACTTTGACTATGTAGACCCGGTTTACCGTCAGATTAGCTTCAGGAGCCTAAGCTCTAGCCGTGTCCTTTTCATTTGTTTCACTAAAAGCCGGTTACCTACCTCTGAGTCACGGAACCTCACAACGCTGAGGACCGGTCTACACGAACAAAATAAAATCCGAAACTAAAGCAATTATTGCACAAATTAAGGCCACTCTTGAAAAAAAAAAAAAGAAAGAAAAAAGAAAAAACAAACTTCAACAAATTCAAGGAAGAAAACAAACTCCAAGAAATGCAACTCTCTTTCCTTCGGGAAAGTCAGATAATTGAAACGTGTGTGTGTGTGTGTGTGTGTGTGTGTGTGTGTGTGTGTGTGTAAGGCCAGTGGGGGATCTTCATTAACAAACCCATTGCCCGGTGCAGACGAGGGGGCTCGGACTGCCTACGACCTTAAAAGCCCTCTGCCCCCGCCCCCTGCCTGGGAGGATTGCGGTCGGTCCCCCAGCAGCCAGGTGGGCTCCCAGAGTCGGCGAACGGCGGAGGAAGCCGATTTGCTATTGCGTGTGACTTGGGGAAGTGGGGCCGAGGTTGCTGAGAAACATACCAAGACAGCAGAGCACTCCACACTGAACATTAACTCTCCAGTTTGCCCTCCCTGCTGCCCCTTCTTCCCACAGACCCGGGGCACGCGGGGTGGACTTTCCCCAGCCCGGGCGCGCCAGCGAGGGCGGATCCCTGGGAGTTGGTGGTGAACGTGCGAGCGAAGTATGGTCCCCGGTCCAGCCAGGGCGGAGGGAGGGCCCTGGTGGGCGCTGTTCTGCGGACTGGGACTGGCTCAGCCAGGAGACATTAAGGCAGGCCGCTGGGAGGACCAGGAGAGGCTCCAAGGATGTGCCCGGGTTTGGCGTCCTGACCTTCATCGTTCCAGGGAAAGCTTGGAGGTCCCAACCTGGCGCTCTGAGAGAGAACCTGACGCGGCGGAAGCACGGATGGACCCGGCGCGGCTCTTCCCACCTTGGGAATCGGCCTCTGTGGACCCGCAAGCTTCTCGCAACAACTTCTCAACAGCCTCGCGCGCCACCCGAGCCTCCCCCGTGCCACCGCAGCGCGGGCGCCGGCCGGCCGCCTAGGCGGGCACAACGTGGGCACTCACCCTGGAAGCGGTGGCCGAAGAAGCGGTTCCGCAGGACCCAGGGGTAGAAGTGCAGAGGGTCCCGGTGCTGCGCGCCGAAGAAGGAATGCGGGGGCTGCAGCGGGGAGGCGCCCAGCTGGTGCGCCGGGTGCACGGTCAGCGCAGGGTGGTTCATGGCCTCGGGGAACACGAGCTCGGGCCCACCGTAGAGCGAGCGTCCGGCGCCCGCGGCGGCAGCTGCGGCGGCCGGGAAGCCGCTCACGAAGGCTGCCTCCGCCGCGCCGGGGTGAGGATAATTTAGTGCCGTGGGCCGGAGTGGCTCCTCTGAGGCGGCCGCCGCCAGGGGATGGGAGCCCGCGCCCCCGCCGCCAGTGCCCCCGCCGGCGCCACCGTCCTTGGCCACCAAGGACTCGATGGTAAAGCCGCGCTTGGCTGTGGGCTGGAACATGGTCGCGGTCGCCAGAGCTGAGCGAGGCAGCCGGGCTCTGGGGAGCGCTCCGCGTCCTGGCGCCGCCGCCGTGCGGGGTGTGCACCCAGCCAGGCACATGCACACACACTAGCGCCCCTCACCTCCCCCGCCCGCCCGCCCGCGCTCAGCCCCTGCCGGCAAGCCTGGCGCGGAGCGGCGAGGGGCTTGCGAGCGAGCGAACGCGGAGTCCGGCCACCGCGCGCAGCTAGGCACGCCGGCCTCTGCGGCCGAGCGGGCAGCTCCCGGCGCGGGCACGGGCGCGGGTTCTGTGCGATGCTGCGAGCTACCTCTACGGCCTGGGGGCTGAGCCCGGCCGCTTCCCTTTCGAGTCCAGCCGGGACCGACCCCCGCCCCCGGTCCTCCCAGCACTGCCCAGCCCGACCCCGGCCGCCTCGCCGTGCGGCGAGAGTTAGCGGGCACCTGCCCCGCGCTCGCCCATTGGCCGCCGCTCACCTGCCCCAAGGTGGGGGGCGGGGCGGGGCGGGGCGAGGGACGGCGGGTGGGGAAGGAGCCAGCAGTCGGAGGCAAAAGCCGGACTGGAGCCTTTGCAGGGCGATCTAGGCCTCCTCCTCCCCTCGCCACTGGCATCTCGTCTCCTCTCCGCCCTTTAGCTGAGTCTGGCGGCCGCCGCAACCGTCCTCGACCTCCGTGGGAGCCGAAGAAGGCGTCCGAGGGGCCTGGGGCTTGGGAGAAACTCCAACCCCACTCCTCGGTGTGTAACTCAGTTGAACCCTCTCCAGTTGGTACCGGGATGTCGTTTCAGTTCTCAGACAACTTGGATCCGAGTGGAGGGTGGGTGTTTAGGGGTCTAACAAATAGGTTCTCCCGAGAACCAGGTCCCTGCTCCCCTCGCCTCCGGGACCCTCCTGCTCACCCACCATCCGTCCCCCGGGCCGCGGTCTGAAGCCGCAGCCTCGTTCTCGAGGTTTCGCGTTTCAGGGTGTTACGGAGGACAGCTCCGTAAAGGGGACGCTCAGTTCTTTTCACAAGGGGCCAGGCCGGGGACAGCGCGACAGCAGCCGCCAGAGCGGTCACCCCGCAGCTCTCAAGCAGCAGTTCGCAGCTGCTTGGCGCAGCCGCTGCGACGGGGGCCGGCTCAGACCGGGACGGCGGGCCTCAGCGCAGGGCGATCTGCTTTCCTCGCCTTCTCTGGTCCTGGGGCTCAGGTGCAGGCGGGCCAGGCCAGGCCGGGGCCTCGAGGACACTGCCTTAAATTGGAGCTGGCCGAACAGTCCGAGCCCGTCTCCAAGAATACACACCGTCAGTCCAGGGAACGCAGGGGGCCTGGTTTCCCCCGACCCTCCCCTTCCACCCGCGACCGCAGAACAGCGGTCGGCTCTGCTCCGGCCAGTTTCCATTTCGTGCACTAATTCCCCGGCGGTGAGAGGACGGGTGGCAATGAGAACCACTACTCCGCAAACTTTTTCACCCGGGCCTTCCAGGCCCAGGCCTAGGAGGGCGCTGGGCGGTGGCGGGGAGGCTGGGACCCGGACCCTGCCGGCGCACTGCGAGGAGGGGACATCAGCGCGTCCCGCTTCCTCGCAGCCTCCTGGGTCAGTCAGAGCGGCCCGGCCTCGGCCGAGGTGAGCAGATCAGGGCTGGGTCTCCCGGCGACCCGAAGCCAGGGGTCCGCGTGCCGCGTGACTCTGCAGGGACTCCAGACCGGGTCTTGGGAGTGGCCCGCCTAAGCGCCGGGAGCCCTAGTCCGGGAAAGCGCTCCGGGCGTCCTCTTCGCCACAAAGCGGGTTAAAGTCTATTTTCCACTCGACTGCTCCGAAAAGCCCCTGCGCGCCGACGCCGTTCCGGCCCCCTTAGGAGAGATGGGGAGGGGGTGACGAGATGGGGGGGAGGAGAGGCGACCGCACCCTGCAGCCCTACGCGTCCTGGGCAGCCCAGGGCCGAGCACCGCGGAGGCGCCCGAGAAACGCCTGAGGAAGGAATCGTTACCGAATCCGTGACGAGCGCTGTGTCTTCTTTGCTGGCCTCTCGGGATCTTTCTGGCTCTTTGTGCTGGTCTCTCCCTCTCTCCTGTTTCTGTCTCAGGTTCTCTATTTCCCCCCTCTCCTGCCTCCCTGCTCCTCACCCCCGCCCCCCCGACTTTTCCTCTATTTCTTCCCCCTCCTCCTTTGCCCCATCCTCAGTCCTGGAAAAGGGGAAGCTCTGCCAAGCGGGCACAAGGACCTAACCAAGCCATATCACTAAGGGGGCGAGAGCGCGGAGCTGGGCAAAGGCACAGAACGAGGAGATTTTCGTTCTATATGGAAGGAGATGACAAGAGATTTTTTTGGTGCAAGGTCTCCGCAGGGACGCGGGTTCAGCTGGATAAGCGTTGCCTGGGCCTGTGCTCTGCGGCGTCATACCACCTATTGGGGGCTGCGACGGAGAAGACAAGAGCCGGAGCAAGTTGAACGCGGCCCCACGGCCTTGCGCCTCTAGCCAGAGATGAACCCTATCTGCCAAGCCACAGGCTCCCACCTCCTACCCCACCTCGAGGCTGGGCATTGACCGAGAACTCGCTAAACTGGGCAGGCAGAGGAGCTTGGAATCTACCGGGCCATTCCTAGACTTGCATCTACACTGGCCACGTCTGCTTTCATTCGTATGGCTCTGAGTGTACATGTTCGTATCTAAATAGATAGACGTTTATAACAACACCTTCCCTTGTGGTGGTGCTTTTGAAATACTTTGACATCCAGCTGTCTGTCATTAGCCCCATTTCACAGATGAAGCAACAGACTGCACAGGACCAGTGACTTGAGTCTGGTCACCATCTGGGTTGAGCTGGGACAGCTCAGTGGTCCTGGCCTGGCTCAGGTTCCACCCCCATTCCCCCACTCCACATCCCTGCTGGTGCAGCCGACTCTCCCAAGACCGGACATTCACAGAGTTAGGGATGGGGTGCTGGAGTGCGCTGGGTGATGGGAGTTCTACCTTCATCTTTCCTCTCCTTTCCCTCTCCCAATGCCCCTTTTCATCTCTCCTGTAATTCCCTAATTTCCCTCCTTCCCTTCCCTCTCTCTGCAGATATTTATGCCTTACCCCGTTTCCTCTATTTCCACTCCTCTTAGGGCCTCTTCCCCTGTTGTCGCTCCTGCACAGTAGGTTAAGAGAAGAATTTGTCACCATCAGGGGGTCTCTAAGCCTGCCACTGTGTTCTGGATCCAGCATCAATGCCCTCCGCCTCACAGCAGTCTTTTCCTGTGCTGTCTCCCCTGCCCAGTCTCTGCCAAGCTCTCACATCTCTCCGACTACCCAGCCCCCCTCAGCTGATCATGTACACAAATGCCTCCTCTCCTCACCAGTGGACAGCCCCCACCTTAACCCAAACCTGATGCCCCCCCCACCTCTGTTCCCCAACCCTTCCTCTCCACCCTCCTGTCCTCCTTCTCAAGCTGCAGAGTTCTGAGGAGCAGGCAGGCTGATCATGCCTCCCTCATGCTGGAGCCGTCCTGTCCCACGCATCTGCGGGCTGCTTACCTTCTGCTCCACGACCGACCGTACCCCACTCCCTTCTCGGGGTTCCCATCTCCCACAACCCAGCATTTTGCTTTCTGCAGGGGAGCCTAATGCCTATTCAGAAGATAAGACCTGGACCATCCGTCCTGGCTCTGGTCCCACATCAACTTTTCTCTTCCCTCCCTCCGTCTCTGGAATAACCTGGGCTCAAATCCCAACTCTTCCATTTGCTAATGGTGAGACCTGGGGCCAATAATCTTACCTCAGCTTGCACGTCTGTGAAATGGAATCATTACTGGGGACCTCTGTGAGGATTAAATGAGATAAGTATGTGGTGAGGCCCTCGGTAAATGTTACTGTCTCTGCCTTTGCCCATGTGGGAAACTTGGGAATCATACTCAAATCCTCTCGCATTGTCTACATCCAACCAGTCACGGGTCTTGTAGTCAAGTACTTCTCAAGTCTATATTGCCTCTCTTTTTTGCTTCATTGCTGGCTAACTTCACTCTTCACAACTCAGTTCAACTCCTCCCAGGGAAGTGCCCCGCCCCCTCCACCGCCCCATGACATTGACCTGCAGGATGGAGTTGTCTGTGTCTTCCTCTCTCTCCCTCACTAGGCTATGACCCGCCCCTATCCCCAGCTGAGGACCTGTGGTGTACATCTTAACCCCCGGCACAGGCCAGGCAATGTTTATCCAACAGAGCCCTCACTCTTGTGGAGAGCTTGGTCCGACAACATCCCCAGCCATCTCTCTCTTACCTTTCATCTCCCTCCTTCATGTTCAGCTTACACTCATCTTCATGTCTCGCTGCCCTACAAAAAGTCTTCTGTCCTCATGTTTCCCTCGCTCTGTTAACTTTCCTTCTTCACCACCAAACTTCTTGAATCAGTTTGTCTCTCTCCAACTCTCTCCTTTCCTCTTGACTCAGTAAGCCTTTGCAACCTGGCTTCCACTCCCATCACATTAGGAAAATGACTTGCAAAAAGTCCAAAACTTTTCTTATGGTGCTATTGCAACAGCAACATGTGCTTATGGAGACAATAATAAGCATGACAACCTTATGGAGTCATTGTGAGATTGATGAGTTATAATCCCCACCCAATGGGGTGTCTAGCACATAGTAAGCACTTGAAAAATGTTAGCTATTATTTTATAGAGCTGTGCTGTCCAATATGAAAGCCATGGGGCTATTGGGTGCTTGAAATATGATGGCCTAAACTGAGATATTCTGTAAATACAACATACAAACCAAATTTGGAAGGCTGAGTGGTAAAAAAAAAAAAAGTAAAGTATCATTAGTATTTTCTGTGTTGATTACATATTATAATGATCATATTTGGGATACATTGGGTTTAAATAAAATATATTATTAAGATTATATTTATCTGTTTCTTTTTACTTTTTAAATGTGGCTACTAGAATATTTAAAATTACGTACGTGTCTCACATTATATTTCTACTGGACAGAGTTGTTATAGAAAATACAGATAATCCAATAGAGTGGGGGAGGGTAAAATGGTGTGGGGGAAGGGAAAACATATTATCAAATCCTACCACCCAGAAACAACCATCATGCAATTCTTGCAGTATATCCTTCCAGTTCTCTCTATGTGCTTCCCTTAAAAAGGGAGGGGGGATCATACTGTACAGTTTTGTAACATGCTTCTTTATCTTTATAACCAATCACAAGCATCTTTGTATCCATTAAATATTCTCTATTGTTGGACATTTATGCTGTTTACAAATTTTCACTATTTTAAACAAGATTTTGACCAACAGCCCCATAGCTGTGATTTACTGCATGTCCATTAGTACTACTTTTCTACATAAATTTCTAGAAGTATAATTTCTAGAAATGTAATTTCCAGATATGCAATATTCTAATTCTTTTGATCCGCATTGCCTGTTTGGCCTCTGGAAATGTTGTAGCCATTTATTCTCCCATGAACAGAATTTAAGTGTTTTTCTTCATTCTCTAAAATGTTCATCAGGACT